AGGAAGTCGAGGTCCCTGCAAGGGCAGAGGGTGCCCAGCCATGCGGGGGCCTGTCAGCGAGGCGGCCCTCTTCCTGCCCCGCGGGGGCCTCCGAGTTCCCAGCCACGAGGGTGACCCGGTGTGGTGGGCCAGCCGGGAGGGGTGCTGAGGTGGCTGGCTGAGCGGCACCCACTGTCCCAGATGTGCTGGCTGTCGTGCCATGTCTCTTCCCAGACAGGGGCGCCGGGTCCTGGCCTTGGTGTGCAAAGGAGGTGGGCAGAGCCGAGGCTGTGCACATCGGGGCTCAGGAGTCCCCCTCACAGCCTAGAGGCCGCAGCGGAGTGTGTGGCCTGCGCCAAGGTTGGGCACAGCTCCAGGGTGAAGTGCCACAGGGCCCCAGGGACCTTGAGGGGCTGCCCCTCACCCCGCCCTCAGCTCAGGGCCGGGGCCCCTGCCTCGTTTCTGCATATGGGGGTCATCCCCCACTTCATCCCGAAACTCACCCCAGCTCCTCCCCGATGCCCACCTCACTGTGACCCCTCAGACGTCCTGAAGGCTTTCTGTCCGTCTTGGCATGAGCAGTGTCCTCCAGAGCCCACAGCCCCCCGGCTCTGTGTGTGGGCCCCGCTCAGGACCAGGTCCTTGCAGATGGCCTGGGGACGAGGGGTCCAAAGGCCACCAGGGGCACCACAGATGGAAGGGACCGGACAGGATCCTCGGGGCCGCCTGCTTGTCCTCGGAGGCCCCCGAGAGCCCAGGCTCTGAGAGGTCCTGCAGGAAGGACCATCCATTTCCCAGGCTGCCCCCAGCCACTTCCCAGGCTGCCCCCAGCCACAGACTTGAAAACCCCGGTGTCCGCGCACGGAAGACCTGCGGCCTGAGGGGTGGAGCCACAGCTCTGAGCTGGAACTTCCTGGGCAGTGCTGGTGGCCCACACGCTCTCCCACCGGGACGGAAACCCATCCGGGAAGAGCGGCCCCGTGACCAGGTCTCGGGCCGGAGCGTGGGCGGCCGTGCGCCCCGATCGTTTCCCTTGGCTCTGCTCCGGAGCACAGTCGCTGCCCTGCGGTGTCAGCACTACACATCTCCAGACGCTGGACTCGGGGTCAGACTGCGCCCAGAAATCTGGGCCATGTGCACATCCACGGACAGTGGCCAGGTGCCCACCCCTCGCCCGTGCCACCGCCACCGGCACCCCATGCTGTGCGTCTCCCCTACCTGGCCCGAAACCCTAAACTCCTCCTTCCGTGTCATGGGAGCCTGGCCGGGGGCCAGAGCTGGACGGAGAGAAGAGGCTGCCATCTGGAGCCTGGAAAAGCCAGGCTGGGCCCTGACTCAGCCCCTTCCTGCCCGTGACCGTGAGACCCGACGTGACCGCCCCGTGCCTCAGTTTCCCCTCTCTGATGCAAAGTGCCAGCAGCTCTGCTCTCTGGGCCACGCTGAGGACACGGTCCCGTCCTCCTGACACGCTTGGGAGATGTGACCAGGACTGGCCTGGTCCAGGCAGAGGGCCAACGTCTAATTCAGCCCTCAGAAGACCTGGGAAGGGCGGCGTGGTGGTCGCAGCACTGGGCTTGGGAGGCTGAGGCAGGGGGATCGCCCGGCGTGAGTTCCAGGCCAGTTTAGGCGGTGTCAGTTCAAGGCAGCTGAACTACACAGCCAGGCCGTCTCAAAAACAAAATGGAAAGAAGAGGAAATGGGCCCCCGCCTTCCTTTCCCTGGGCACGAGCAGAGGCCCGTGACCAGTCACAGCTCTGAGGCTCCCGCCCAGCCCGCCGTGACCCCAGCAGGCCGCCCGCTGCCCCTCTGCACCACCGTGGCCTGAGTCCTCGGCTCGGCTCCCTCAGCAGGACACAGGGGCACCCTCGCCATGTCCCACTCTGTGACTGCCCCTCCCTGGCCCACGAGCCCCGCCCGCTGCCTCGGTCCCCACCCTTCCCCACCCTCCTCCCATTTCCTGCAACCCGGAGCCCAAGCCCAGGCGGTAAATACAGCTCCCTCCTCCTTCCAGCCACGCCCAGCCTCAGAGGCCAGGCTCTGCTGTCCCCTGCAGGGCCCAGTGGGAAGGGGGAGGGGAGGGACAGTGCAGCACAGCTGTTTATGGGATGGCACAAGTGTGTGCTTGTCCGGGCTCGCCCGCCTCACACTCAGCCTCACAGGGACACACACATGCACACTTACCTCAGTCACCTATGCATGTAAAGCCACAATCGCTCACAATGACACAAGCCCACCATGATGGGAGGCTGAGGCAGGAGGACCGCAGGTCGGAACAGTCTGGATATCCAAGCCAGACCCTGCCTCCAGATGACTACGGGGCCGGGGTGGCATTGCAGGTGCCAAGGCCCCAGTTCCACCCCCAGAGCTGCTCTAACAAATCCAGCTCACAGGTGTGCAAAGTGCATTCCGGAAGCTCAGAGGTGCCAGCCACAGGCCACACAGCCTCACCCACACCCAAGCTTGGCTGCCCAGCAGGGGAGGACATGGTGGCAGGTGACCGGTGGGGACCAGGGGTGGCGCTCGCTCAGGTCCAAAGCAGTGGGAGTGCAAGGGCAGAGAGCGGCTGTGTGCGGTCACTGTGGAGGGGGTGCAGGAGGGCAGAGCTGTGCGGGCGAAAGCTGGTGGGGTCAGTGGCTGCTCAGGGCCATTGCCTCCTTGTGGGTCGACAGCCAGCATGGCATCCCCACGGGCTGTCACCGAAGAGCTGACTTCAAAACTTTCCGCTGTGCCGGGCGACTCGGACTCCAGTAAACCATCATTTGTACCAAAGCAACTCAAAGCCAGGCCCCCGGAGGCTGAGGCGGGAGGACTGCAGGTTCGAGGCCAGCCTGGGTTACTTTGAAGGGATTCCGTCTCGGGAAATCAAAAGCCTGGGATGAACCCTTGCCTAGCATATGTGAGGCCTTGGGTTCTATGCTTAGCACGGGGAAAAACAGGCCAAAAATAAACCGACTTCCATGCTGTCCTGGGTGTCCTGCCATTTGCCAGGGAAGAACTAGAACCCGGGGCGTCCCTGTCCTGGAGATCTTAGCCACTGACCACTGGGTGACTGGGCTGCCCCGTGCAGCCGCGGCCGGCAGAGCACAGCGGAAAAGCACCTCGGGCCGACACAGGGACAGCGGTGGTGAAGGTACCAGGGCTACAGCCTTCGCACCCAGGTCGCTGGCCAGGAGTGGCCGCTCTCGGGGGAGACTGCCGCTGTCGCCTCCCAGGATGTTTATGTCTGGCCAGCCGGGCGTTTGCTTGGCCACAGCACCGGGGAGAGACCAAGGGCAGCTGAGGTTGGAGGCGGCAGTGCACACAGCCTGCACCCAACCCTCCCCACGCGTCACCCCGAGTCCCAGCCATGCGAGGTGGGGAGGAAACAGAGGCAGGGCCACGAAGGGGCTGGCTCTGGGTCTCACAGCCGGTGGACGAGGTGCTGGGTCCCAAGCAGTCCGTGAGGACCCATGTGGTGGCCGTCACGGAGTCCAGTCAGCAGCTCCTGGCAGGGTGGTAGGCTTTGGGGGGTTCGTCCACGCTGGACGGTGCTCAGAGGGAGGCTGGGGTTGGGGAGGGGTGCAGCTCCGGGAGGAAGCCCAGTGCCCGCTGAGCACTCCCCAAGGGGAGGAGCGTGGGAGGATCTGGGGCCACTTGGGCATGGGGGTGTGTGGCTGCGTGGTTTGTCCTCCTGGCCATCAAGCTGGGTGCCATGCAAATGCCCAACGGTCTGATCGGGAGCTATGCTCTGCTGGGGGCCATGTGACCCCCGACCAGGAGGTCTAGAGGCCACTCAGGGTCCCCCTGCCTTGCTCTGCCACCCCCAATGCCCCACCTGCAGGCTGCACCCCACGATGCTGGCGGCTGCTAAGCCGATTGCTGCTGGACTCTGTGGACCTAAGAGACGCCCACTGCTGTGCTGCCCCCGCCCGCTCGGCCCCTCCTGGCTTCCCCGGCAGCATCCGCCTGCGGGTCTGTCCTGCTGCTCTGTGGGTGCAGCGCCCTGAGACCTGGCTCGTGGTGCGGGGCTGTGGCCACACACAGCAGGTGCCCACTGCACATCTGTGGACCACCTGTGTGAAGGTGCCAGGTGCAAGCACGCCCAGCTCTTGTGCATTCTTGGGGTGGTGGCGCCCTCTGGTGGGCGGTGTGCAGACTGCAGTGCCAACCCTTCCGGAAGGACTGCTCAGAGTCCCACGTGCGCCCTGGGCGCCAGCGTGAGGTCACCAGCATGCAAAGATGGGGAGGGCTCCTGTGTCCAGTGTGGCCGTGCGGCTGGCATCTGTTAACACAAGTGTAACAACTGCCACCTGCTGCCTGCAGCCCCGAGTGACCTCCCTGTCCCTGTCTGAGGTCTGCACAGGACAGTTCGTGGATTTTCACCATGCAGGCTGTGGAGGACATGACACGTGGGCACAGGGAAGACACAAGGGGGTGGCCTGCCTGTCCCCACAGCCCTCTGCAGGAGGCCCGGGGAGGGCAGGCCTGCAGGTCCCACTCTGAACCCAGTCCGTTCAGAAGATTCTGGAACCCACGGCAGGGTCTCAAAGCCACCACTGAGGACAGACCTCGGTGCATGGGGGTGTGGGAGGCGGCCACTGCCCACACCTCCAGGAGGGGCACAGCCTGCCCACACGGCCGGGACACGAGGACAGGCCGGGTGTGGCCTGTGCGGGGCAGAGAAGATGGCCACGGTGTCCAGAGCCACAGGGCTGTCCCAGAGCAAACTTCTGGCTCTGACAAGGGGGCGGTGGTCACAGCAGGACAGAAGAGCCCATCGCCAGGTCCCCGTGGCACAGCAAGGCTCCCCCTTCGTAGTGCCACAGGGACCTGCCACGGTGGCCCTGGGACACGGCTGGAGCCTGGAGTGGGGACAACTGCCGAGCCCAGGAGAGCCCAGCCAGCCTGCGAGTCAGAAGCAGGAGGGCACAGCGGCCCGGGCCACTGCGGGCTTGGAGCGCAGGCGGGCAAGTGTGTGAGGCCAGGCCCTGGGGTACACTGAGACTGTCCACCCCACCCCGAAGAACCGAGCTTCCTGGAAATGGTCTGAGAACGGCCGCTGGGCTAGTTTATTTCATAGAAAAGTTACACGGAAGGAGAGGTCGGAAAGTCAAATATACTTGATTTGCACAGACTCGAGAGGCTCACAGGGTCACCACGTGGGGAGTCACTGACCGATGACAGGACACACAGGTGCACGCCTCCCACTGACGCCCAACGGCCCGGCCCCGACACAGATGTGCAAATGACACCCAGAACCGCCCGCTGCGCTGTCCTGGCCTGCTGGGCCTGTCCCTCCCAAGCCTGTCCTCCCGCCAGGGACCGGCTGGGACCTCATGGAGACGGACTCCGGGAGCCCACGGCCGGTCCCGAAGCCTGGGCAGCAGGGGCGCGGCCCCAGCAGTTTAAGGCAGGGCCCCGGAGGGGCTATTTGCGTCTGGTGTAACCCTAAGCTCACACCAAGGGTCCGCTCTCATCACCTGTGCCGTGGGCAGAGACACAAACATAAAAACGAAAGCCACCTCTCTGGTGCCCCTGGCCGCTGTGGGGCCAGCCCCGCCCGCCGACTCGGTGGAAGCAGGGGCGCGCATCGCCGGCCACAAGGGACCACTGCTCTTTGGATGGAGACGCTGTCCGTTGGGAATACATTCATAGACACCATGGGGCCACACAGCGTACCCCCTTCCCTGAAATGTTGGCTTCTGAGAAACAGCTCATTTGCTGTACACGGCCACTAAATGTCACACCAGGACACATGCACACGCGCACAGACACACGGACGCGCGCACAGACTCACTGCGGGGCGCCCTCCGGGCCCCACGAGGTTCTGAAGCCGCCTTCCCGCTCGGCACGCAGGCCATCTGCGCCTCTGGCGCACAGGCCAGGGCCCGGCCGCAGTCTGGTGCTGGTGACAGCCAGCAGGTGCACAGCTGGGGACTCCTGGCCAGGCCAGCATGCAGCAGGGCTCACGCGGGCTCCTGTCCGGTGAACACAGCCACCCGTCTGCTGGTGACGGCCACCTGTGTCCCAGGTCCTGTGGCCGCGCAGTCCCACCTGCCCTCCTGGCCCAACGGGAGGCTCACACCGAGAACTCCGGGCCGCCTTTCCTGGGCCTGGCCTGCAGTCGCCTGAACCGGAAGCCGACAAAGGGGTTCATCCAGAGGAGGGAGGGGGGACCCCCAAAGACGGACTTCATCCCTTCCCAGCGCAGCCTCCGCTCCCACGTGGGCTTCTCGCTCTTCAGCCTCTCGATCTCCTGCAAGCGGGCAGAGAAGAGCCTGGCTGGTGGGCAGCTCTGGCAAGGCCACAGTGGACGGGCCACACGGGCACATGGGCATGTCCATCCTCGGAGGCCCCTTGCTCTGGACTGGGTATCAGGCAAGAGGCTCCAAGTGGGGCACACGGGCTCTCCCACTGGCCTCTGGCGGCTGTGCTGCCCACGGCGACACCAGACCTGAGTGAGCACCAGCCAGCTCTGCCCACTCGCTGCTCTATAAATGCTGTCCCAGGGCCTCCCCGGCCTGAAGGAAGCAGCCGGCACCCTGGGGACAGGACTTCCCGGCTGGCACCCACACGGGCCGAGACCTTGCCACGCAGTGGGCAGATGCGAGGAGCAATGGAAGCCAGGACATGTGGCCCATGGCGCGAGGGATGAGCCCCCTGCCGGCTGGCACGCAGACACCGCCCGCTGCCCGCCCCGGCAGCCGCCGCCCCCTACCGTCTCGTCGTTGCAGATCGAGTGGATCTGAGTGCTGAACATCACGGCGGTGAACGTGAAGAACAGCAGCCCCTCAAGGCACAGGAAGATCAGCAGGACTACAGTGATCGGAGGGGAGAAGCCGCTGCACTCTGTTTGGGGAGAGGGTGTCACCTGGCGGGGGACGCGCCCGGCTGCGTTGTCTGCACCCCGCTGCCTCCCGGCCAGCGTCTTTAGCTCTGTGCCCCAAGGCTGTCCCGCGGGCATCCGTGCCCCACCGCCTTGCCCCTGCTCTCCCACTGGCCTCGCAGGACGGCTGGGAACAAGGGCTCCCCGCTGCTGGGGAGGCAGGCCAGGGCTCGGAGGGCAAGGCTCACTCTCCTCTAGTTGCAGAAATCAGCAAAATGCATCTACAATTATCTAGTGGAAATTAATTACATGGCCTTAGGACAACAGCAAAACTTCACCAGATTGTTCTAAAAATTCAATTTATCAAACGGTAGCAGGGACTTCCTTCCAAACGGGACCGCCACCCAGGGGCCCAGCTCACCTGTCCACTGTCCCCGCACGCAGGAGATGAACTGCAGGCCGCAGAGGATGAGTGCGTGCACCGAGGACAGGGCGATGTACATCTGCGGGGGAGAGGTCAGGGCTGCGGCGGGGCCAGCAGCGGCCCACCCGCTCCACCTCGGGCAGCACAGAGCGGGCGGGGAGGTTGCCCGGGACCGAGGGGCCGGTGGGGAGACGAACCCCCACCCGGCACGGCAGCGCTGCCTGAACTCTGCCCGCCGCGCTGGGCCACCAAACCATCTCATCAGCTCCTCGGATGCAATCGTGACGCTCCTGCCCTACGCTGGGGTGCAAGCCACCTCGCGGCGAGACAGAGAGCGAGGCCCTGGACGAAGCTACACCCCAGGCCACCCCTAAGGTAGCAGCAGCCTGGTTTACCTCGGGACCCTGCCGAGGCAGCTCAGTCGTGCCGCGTGAAGCCACAGAGGCGGCGACAGCGCGCGTGCCCACGGCGGGACCCCCACCCACCCCGGGGCCCGGAGGCAGCGTCGTACCGTGAAGAGCACGAAGAAGCGCTGGTTCTGCTCCCCCACACAGTTGTTCACCCACGGGCAGTGATGGTCCATTTTCCGGATACACCTTTTGCAAATACTGAGAAGGAGAGCAGTTTAGTGTCGGGAGCTGTGGGGAAACCCGAGCACCCACGCATGAGAGACCTACGGTGGGCGAAGCAGTGGACAGGGCCTGCACTGACCGCGGCCGCCCCGCCTCCAAGTGTGCAGAGGGGGTTCGCTGTCGGACGCCCTGCCGCTGCCCCAAGGGAAGTACTGCCGGGCGCCAGCCCACGGCCCCCAGACGCCAACTCCGGCCGCATGGCCTTGCCCTCTCTGTGGAAGGCAGAGGCAGGAGGACTGCTGTCAGTTTGAGGCCAGCCTGGTCTACAAAGCAAGACCCTATCTCAAAACAAACAAACAAACAAACAAACAAACAAAAACACTCTAGGAAAGGCTGAGGACATAGGTCAGGGCGAAGGGCCGGGGTTCAGTCCCCAGCGCCGAGGAGGACGCCTGCCCAGCACGCCTGGGCCCTGGGCTCTGTCCCCAGCCGAGGAGGACGCCTGCCCAGCACGCCTGGGCCCTGGGCTCTGTCCCCAGCCGAGGAGGACGCCTGCCCAGCACGCCTGGGCCCTGGGCTCTGTCCCCAGCCGAGGAGGACGCCTGCGCAGCACGCCTGGGCCCTGGGCTCTGTCCCCAGCCGAGGACCCAGCCAGTCGCACCTGCAGTGGTGCGCCCGCTCGGGCTTGATGCAGCAGCACTTGGGGCACTTGTAGATCACCTCGCCGGGCTTCAGCTGCAGGCTCTCCATGTGCTCCTTCGTGGCATTCCCCTTGGGCACCGCCCCCTGTGTGGGAGGAGGAAGGGTCAGCTGGAGCCCGCTCTCTGCCAGAGCACGCACGCCCCGAGGCACGGGAAGGGCTGCCTCTGGCACCGGCTTCACCTGGCAGAGAGCGGCGCACTGTCTGCTCCAGGGCGGGTGGGAACCCGAGGCTCTGCTGGGAGGGGCACAGCGGCCGGGGTGTGCCGTGGGCAGGGCTGGGCGGGCAGGTGCCGCCCTGGGTTCCCTTCAGGCGGGGACTAAGGGTAATAGCGTCCTGTCCCGCCTATAAAGACTTGGGGGCGGCTTCGGGGGCACACAGGAGCCCTGGCCCGAGGCTCTGCAGGGTGAGGCCGCCCGGCTGAGAGAGCTCCTGGTGCCAGGGCTGGGGCAGGCGTGGTCCCTGCAACCGTCCTGCCGGGCTGCGGCCACCACTCAGGGTCTCCTGCGTCACATCGGGAAGCGAGGCCTCGCCTGGCCCTGCTCACTGTCTCCCCGACTCCAGCTCTCCCTGCAGATCCCAGATGAGGGCAGTGAACGCCCTGCAGCCCGCACAGAGGGCAGGGTCCTGTCCATGAGAGGAGGCGGCCATACCGGAGGTCCTCTGTGCGTACAGTGGGGAGACGAGAGGCTGTCCTGGCGGCCAGCTACATGCTCACAGGGACCCCCCCACACCAGGAGGCTGGTCTGCTGGGCCAGAGCAGGCGCCCACCTGTCCTGGGGCACGCGTGGAAAGCGAGCCCAGGGAGGGGACACGCAGGCTCTCTCTCCCCTAGGTGCCCACCTGGGCTCAGGGATCCCCAAGGGCCCTACGGCCCCTCAAGGGGTGGAGAAGGGGGGTGCAGCCGAACCTCCAGCACCTTCTGAGCAGCCTCCCTAACTCTAGGCTCCGGGTCTGACTGACACCACTCCCAGGGGCTTCTGCCAGCTTCTGCCAGCTGCCACTAAGCTGGACAGGTGGTGTGGCTGGAATGGCGCATCCCAAAGGGGCAAAGGACGCCGACATTTCTGAGAGGAGATGTGTAAATGCAGGCCCAGGAGAGCTGCGTTAGTCCTGCCGGGCATGGTGGTGCACACCTGTCATCCCAGCGCCGGGAGCCTGCGGCAGGAGGACGGCCAGGAATTCCAGGCCAGCCTGGGCTGCACAGCGAGTCCAGGACCAACCTGGTCTACGTGGTGAGACCTTGGCTCAAAGCCCCTCCACCATGAAGAAATCCAACTTAAAACTACAGTGAGGGCCAGGCATGTGGCACGCACTCAGAATCCCAGCTATTCCGGAGGCAGAGGCAGGACGATCTCAAGGTGAGCCCCGCCTAGGCAACTTAGAAAGGCCCTGCCTGGAAATGGGCTGGGACGGACACCAGGGTGACCGTGCCGGGTTTCAGCCCAGGTCACAGAAAACAAAACCATCGACACAAGACACTTCACAGGTGTCAATGACAACGCTGGCGGGGACATGGGCTGGGACCCGGGCTGCGGGAGGATGAGAAACGGGCGCTGCCTGGAGGATGGAAAGCACAGTCCTGGGCTGCCCACAACGACCCTGCACACCAGGGCGTGTGGTCCCATCGCCATTCACTGAGGCCAGCTCCCGCCCAGGAGGAACAGCACACAGCTGGGAAAGGGACGTGGCTCTGTCCCCCGCTGTGCCCCTGTCACTCCGCAAGTCCAGGACAAAGGGACCCCACGTGGGCAGCCCTGAGCAGCAACTCCAGAGCCTGGGGCAGGCAGGGGGAGCCTCTGCGGTGCTGGAGATGCCCAGTGGGGCGGCGGCCCACCCGGGGGCTGTAAGCCCCACTCCACTGACATGGGCACCCCCAGAACCCCGAGGCCACATGGCCACGTGGTGGGTGGCAGATGTCCTGGGGCTCCAGCCTCCTGGGAGCCACTATGGTCAGGACAAGATGATGCGCAGCCTGGACGCCTCTGCTTGGAAGGGCAACCCTGAGAGGAACCACGGCCATCTCTCTGGAGAGCGGCACAAGGTCACTTCCCTGCATGGGTCCACACCAGCCTGGCACACCCAGCCCCCGCCTGGCAATGGAAGGTCACCCTACACTCTGCACCGGGCACAGCCAGGGCCATGGCTGCTCTGTGCACAGCAGCCGACGCTGCCCGCCCGCAGCCAGGCTCTGCAGACCCTGAGGTGGCCCAGGGACGCAGTGACACGGCCCACCCCGCCACCTCCACATGAGGGCACTCACGGGGTCGGTGAGCATGGTCCTCAGGTGTGATGAGAGTGCCAACACCGCCAGGCAGTTAAAGATGACCCCGTTCACCACGGAGTACCAGAAATCTTTGGAAGGTAGCAGCATGACGAACGTCACCACGAAGTCCGCGTAGACCACCAGCAGCCACGTGATGACGGCACAGACCATGCCGCAGCCATCGCGGATGAACCACACCCTGTCTGCCGTGTCGGCCTCGGAGGCGGAGGAGGAGGCAGAGTCGTAGCTGTCGTTTTCGGTCAGCAGAGGATGGTGCTCGACGTCCCGGAGCCGGTGTCCGGAGGGCTGCATTGTTCCCGGACACACCCTGAAAAAGGACAGCACCCTGAGCTTGGGCCACAGTGCCTGGCCACGTTACAGGCTCACACGCACAGCCGAACAACACACACGCGGGTGAAACACTATTTCCGAGGAGCCACCAGCCCCACTCTGCCACCGGGTCTCCTCAGCCCAGGGGGCGGAGGGGACAGCCAAACAGCCAGCCTGACCCCAGAGGAGGACGTCTCTCCTGGACAGAAGTGAGCCCTGCCCTGTGCAGAGGCCGGGTGAAGGACCTGGGGGGACACAGATGCCCCTGAGCTCTGGCCGGGGCGGGGTAGAGCCCAAGCTCGGGGCTGGACTGGAAAGCGGCACAGAGCCCAGGGCACTGACACCCAGCAGGACAGTGTGCCGAGAGCCCTGCCACTGCTTTGGTCAAGGGCAGCTCCGGAGGGGTTCCTGGGGTTTGCACTCAGAGTTTGCATCTGACACTGTCATCGTTTATGGTTTCACTACGACAGCCGAGTGACCTGGTTGTTGCTGTCCCTGATCTGCCCGTGCAGTCCCAAAGGCCAGGAGCTGGACTGCCGGGGACCCTCAGGACACCAGCTCCAGGACATCGAGCACCATCCTCTCCTGACTGCGGACAGCAAAGCACCAGAGCAAACAGGGAGGAGCCTTGAGAGCGGACTCTGCCCCTTCTGTTGTATGCAGGCCACAGCCAAATCCCAGCACTGGACCATGGGTCATCACACAGTCCGGGAGCTCACCCCCATGACTGCATGGGGCTTCGGGGACTCCCAGACACAAACCATAACAAGGGTTTATAGCTACAAATGCCCACATCAAAAAAAAAAAGCCCAAATACATAACGTAACAGTACACCTAAAGAAAAAGAACAATCCAAATCCAGAGCTTGTGCAAGGAAGGACATTACAGAGATGAGAGCAGACACTGATGAAATGGAGACTAAGATAATACAAAGAATCAACGAATCAAGAGCTAGTTTTTTGAAAGAATAAACAAAATACACAAACCGTTAGCCAAACTAATCAAGAAAGCAAAGAAAAGCTGCAAATCAATGCAATTAGTATTATAAAGAGAAAATCATGACAGACACCACCAAAATCCAGAAGGTTTTTAGCAACTGCTTCACAAACCTTCACACCAGAGAATTTGAGGACTCAGAAGAAATGGAAACACACACACACAAATATACACGGCAGAGTGGGACACACGGATGAGTTACCTCAGTGAACGAAGACCTAAAGACCCTGGATAAGCCGGGACCAGGCCTCGGAACTGAAGCAGCAGTGACCCACCAAGCAGAAACCCAGGACCTGACGGACTCCTGCGCACTGTACGCGGATTTCAGGAAGAACTGACACCAAGGTTCCTTAAACTCGCTACTGAAATGTAGTTGCAAGAAATGCTCCCACAATCATTCCTGGAAGCTAGCATTGTCCCAATCCCAAAACCACACAAGGATCCAACCTGGAAAACCACAAGGCAGGGCCGGGGCAGCTCAGCTGTGTAAGTGCCTGCCTGGCAAGCCAAGATCATGAGCTCGATGCCCGGCACCAAAAAGAAAACAGACACAAAAAAGAAAGAAGATCTACGAGGCAACCTCTGTAGTGAACACAGACGCAGAACTCCCCCACAGAATCCTGCCACAGCTGCGATGAACCAGCAAAAAGACCGCGGCCCAGGAGCTGCACTCCAGGACGCAAGGGTGGCTCCGCGCATGCAAACCAGGAATGCACTCAGCCCCGACAGGAGCAGGGTCAGAAGTCACACGGTCCCCGACAGACGCAGAAAAGCCCAGCAGCCACTGCCTCTAAAAACACGGATGAAAACGGGTACAGAGAACCTACCTGATAAAGTGTTCATGACCAGCCTGCCGCAGACGTGTCACGGGGGAAAACAGGCCAGACGCCCTCCAACACCACGCCTGCTCTACACTGTCCTCACTGTCCTTGAAACATTAGCCGGAGCAGTCGGCAAGAGAAAGGAAAAGCACGAGTTCAGGACAGACAGTCACAGGTGACACGCTCTACCTAGAAGACCCAAAAAGTTCACCGAAGGACTCCAAACCACATTCAGCAATGCAGCAGACTCCAAGACAAACACAGAACTGATCAGATACACCACTGCACCGACAACAGAAAAGCCACAGCATTTACAGTGGGCACCGAGAAAGATACTCAGGAACGAGCCACCAAGACAGGGAAGGGCCAACAGCAAAAACTCTGTCACTTAGAAACAGGAGATCAGAGAGGGCCCCAAAGACAGAAGACGTGGCTGCTGCTGGCAGGCAGAGCTGCGCTCCCCACACTGATGGACGCGGCATCCCCGGAATCACAGATCTAGAGGAGACAAGCCCACATTCACCGGGGACCAGGGAAACTCCGGAGAGCAGCACAAGGCAGGAGGCAGGGCCGGAGTCACACCACAAAGCTGCTGCGATCACAACGGGACGCCGGGCACAGAAACAGCCCCAGGGGGACCAGCAGAGAAGACCCGGGCACGTTCGGCCACCTCCTCTCTGACACAGGGACACAGGCATCCCCTGGGGACAGGGGGCCACTTTGATAAACGGTGCCGGGGATCCTGGACACCGCACCCAGAGGACAGACCTGCGGCTTCCACCACACGGAACCTCTGTGGGAGATGAGCTCAGACTCCGGCAGACACGGGCACAAGACAGAGCACCAGGGGCCAGCAGATGGGGCCGCATCCAACTGGCCTCTGCACCGGGACGGACCACCAGAGCAAGTGAGCACCTGCAGAATGCTACGCACAGTGCCACAGGCCCCCCACTTCCGGGGACAGCTACAGGCCACACAGGCCAGGTCGCCCACTCTCCGTGCCCGGCCCAGCCCTCCTGTCTCCGCGTGCAGGTGGGGAGCGAGCAGAGGTGGCCGTGGCCATGCGCTTACCGCACAGGTGACTTGTGAACATCACTCGAGCATGTCACGCCTGTCCCTGGGGACACTGCGGTGTGTGCTGTCCTATGTGACAGGGTCTGGAAGACAGTAAGGTCTGATTAGGAGCCAGGTACCGATGGCAGAAGAGCACCCAGCGCCCTCTCACACGATGATGCTCCGTCCGCCAGGCTGCCGTCACCCCCTGAATCACTGCCCCTGTGCTGTCACAGTGACCCGACCGGCAGCCCCCAGACTAAGCTGCTCAGACACTCCCTGGCTGTTCAGACAGGCTGGACTCTCACGCCTGGGCTCAGCCTCTGGGGCTCGGGGCCTACCCCCCCATCCAGTTCAGCCTCCTGCTCTGTAAGCCCGAGGTGAAGCAAAAGCCGTGAGCCGCGTCCTCCAGAACCCCAGGGCCATTGCAGGGCTCATCCAGCCAGCCTGCACCTCAGCCTGCAGGGGAGCGAGGGCAGCAGGCCGCGCTGGGCTCGGTGGTGAGGGCCCCAGTCGGGGAGGGAACAGTGTCCTCTTGGGGGAACTGGTCTGCCAAGAGCCGTGCAGACACCGGGTACGGGGGCCCTGTAAGAGTCACTGCCAGGCTCCTAAGACCAGGACCATGGGGCCTTGCACCTATGGCCAGAGGGCTCCTGGACACCCGCCACAGTTCTAGCCTCGAATGCAGAAACCTCGGCTGTGGCTCTATGGGAGGGTGACTGCTAAAGAGGACACGGCCTCCCACCGCGGGACCACAGGTAAAGAGGGACACAATAGCGCATCGCCCGGAGCTCTGTGGCTGCCCGACCTGACGGCAGAGCAGACAGGCTAAGGTCTCAGAGGGAACTGGGGCCGCGCAGGGAGTTTAGGAGTTCGCCGGCTGGGCACAGAGGCCTCTCCATCTGCAGCAGTGGCCCTGGGGGAGCGCTTAGCCCAGCTGGGAAGGCAGGTGCTGTGGGCTGCAAAAAGGCCAGGTGTCCACTGCGTCAGGGGCTTCGGGGCGCCGCCACTTGTGGAGGACGAGGTCACACAGCAGGAGGAGGAAGAGATGGGGAGCGAGCTGGGGAGGGAAAGAACAAACCCAAACAAGCAGGAAAGGAATGCAGGACGGCAGCATGCGTGGAGAGGAGAGAGCTCCCGTACGGCCATGACTGCACAGCCACGCGCGCTCTGGGAAGGGGCGCGTGAGTAAGAACAGGACGCTGAGGGCGCCGCAGGCACTCAGCACAGCGGCAGGATTTAAGATGCAAGAACAGGACTGCGCGCAGGGAACAAACCCAGGACACTGTGGGAAGCCGACAGAGCGGACCAGGGCGGGTCAGGCACTGCGCCTGCCACAGGTGCCGCCGCCTGGGTGCAGCCGCCTGTCCCTCCGCCTCCGTCCCGAGCCTCCTGCCCAGGGCTGTGTTGGTGCCCCTCAGCCCCTCCGGGGCGCAGCCCGGACCCTGGCTGGGTACCAGGGCTCAGGGCCTGCAGAGGGTGGGACACTGGCATTGTCACTCCAGGCCTGCAGCGCTGGGCGTGGCCCCCTGGGCCTGCGGGTGGTGGCCTTGGAGACTGCAGGAACGGCAGGGCCACTGAGGCCTCCGTCCTCTTCGGTCCAGGGCCTCCACAAGGACCTCCTGCTGCAGGGCCTACGCCCTCCTCTGAGCCTCTGAACACAGGCGAACAGGGAGCCCAAGCCACTTAGAGCAATGCACTTGAAAACAATGACCTTGCACGCTGTGCCTTATTCAAACACTTGGGCACCAGCCGCCACTTTAACCCTGAATGGTGTCCAGAGCTGTTTCCCAAGGAGCTGTTGGGCAGCGCCCTGAAACCTGAGGCTGGGCCGCGGCAGGTCTACGCGCTCCGAACCAGAGGCCTGCTTATCTTTATAAATTAAACAAAGTAACCCACAGAACGAGCACTCGCAGAACGAGCACTGGGCTGGCACTTCCTCAAACTTACAGCACGCACCCACCCTGACACAGCAGGGCACCCACCTCTGGGGCTCGAAGGAAAACAAGCCCCAGTGTTCGAAAGCTGTTCTGAGCAGCACAGTCACATGGCCCGGGGGCAGGCGACCCACCCACCGGGCCTGAATAACGGGAGGAGGAGGCCAGCAGGGCCACAGGCAGGTCCAGGCCGTGCCTCGTCCCCGTCAGCCCGCTGTCCCCGCCTGAGATTTACTTCTGCCCACAACTGCACTGGGTGCCATGCCCCTCCTGTCTCCGGTCCCCTTACCCCCGCACTTCACATGTATGGTGGCCAACGAGACACGTGGGTCTGCCCGGCGACCACCTCCTGCCGACCGACACAGGCAGGCGCAGCAGTGCCCACGGAGCCTGCTGTCCCGCCCCCACCAGGACCCACCAGCCCCCGCTGCGCACTGGGCTGGGCACCCCACACCAGCAAACCTTGGCCACGCGGCTCGGGCACGGAGCAAACCCGCCAGGTCGTCCAGTGACCCACGCACCATGCAGGACCCCAGGCACGGGCAGAGGCCGACCCCGGAGCCTCCAGGCACCAGCTGGGGTTCCCAAGTCAGGAGCCACCTGCCGGGGAGGGAGCTCCGGGCTCACTGGGGGCCACAGCGGACAGGCGCATGTGCACGGATCGGTCGGATCTGAGGATCTGACGGAGGCACAGCCAGCAGGGCCTCTGTCACATGGTCACTTCCTCCGCTCGCAGTGGCCTCTCCCCACGCAGGGTGTCGCCCTCCCTTAAACTTTCACTTCTCTCTTCTCAGCCTTCAGTAAAGACTGGGCTGTGTGTACATGTGTGCATACACGCACGCACATATACACGCACACACACATGAACACACACACACACATATAAGGGCATCGATGGGCCGGAACCCGAGCGCCCACAGGGATGGCTCAGCACACTGAGGGGCGATGGGACCCCCAGGACACAAGCCCTCCAGCGCCACACTCGGGAGCCTGCGATTCTGGACTTCTGCCTGCTGTCACCAGAGGCACAGAGCTCAGGGACAAGGACCTGTGTTTTCAAGAAACCACTGCCCCAGGGAAAGGCCCCCGCACCAGGTGCGGAAGCCCACAGGCTCCGACACACCTTCCCCTCCTGGCACCAGGGCACCGGGCCTCAGTGTGCAGAAAGGCCTCGGAAGACAAAAGGACAGCAGAGGACGGCGGGAGAGAGCTACGGGATAGCAGGATGGGTGAGCAGACGGGGTGGGGACACCCAGGCATGGGGCGCCCCCGGAGACCCTCAGGAATGAGCCTGGTGGCCTCCCCACAGCCCGGAAGAGAGGCGGCAGCCTCGGCAGGACAGCAGCTGGCGCTGTCCAAGTCCAGGAACACACCATGGGACAAAGCGGGTGCAGCCGCACTGGGTGGCCGGGCACCAGGACGCCGGGCAGGAGCTGGTGCAGACACACGGGGAGATCAGTGCGGGGTGGGGGGCGCAGTGGGCAGCGATGCTGCAGATGCCTGTCAGCGCTGATGCGTGGCAGGTACGTGACATCTGTGGGACAGACACGTGTGACACACACATGACCTCAACTTTACCGTACAGTAGGAGTTAATGTATGCAAATTTAAAAAATCCCTTAGGATGTCACCAGATGTCCCGTGGGCTGCGGCACTCACAGCAGCTCTCTGGGGACCCCCATGCGGGTGGGACCCCGGCATTTGCTCACTCATTCAGCCGCACACTGGAGCAGCAGGGAGCTGGATTGCTACTTGAGTTTCTGCACAATGATGTTCCCTGTTGCTCGCACTGGTCCAGCTTTGGCTATTGGGAGCGCTGCCCACCGGTCTCCACGGCCTCTGCCTGGCCCCAGACCCCGCCCCCACTGAGCTGTCAGCCTGTGGCTCCCAGGTCCCCTCGGTGACCTCGAGCAGGTAAGCTCCACACCTGGCGGGCTGCGCACACATTAAGGCCCTGCTCTGACCCAGACCACTCGGGTGAGGACAGCTTCCTGGCTTTGTCCACCCAGCAGTGAGGACTGCGCTTCATCTCCACCACTGCCTGATTCCAGAATGTATCGGTCCCACAGCTGCCCGCCCGCCCCTGACAAAGCACCAAACGGGTCCCGCCAGAGGAGCACCATACGGGGTATCTGACCAGTGCATCGAGGAACAAGGTCAGTCTGAGGAAGTGGGCCAGTCCCAGGAGTCCTGGGAGGACAGTGTCGCACGGGGCCCTGGATGGGACCCTGGGCAGAGAAAGGACGCTAAGGGCAACCCGAGAAGTGAAGAGCTTGCAGCCCATTTCCACAGCAGGAGGGGACGCTGCCAGCAAGAGGGGGCCACAGGGATGTGGGCAGCTCCCAGCTAAGCAGCTCCCGCGTGGCCAGAGGCGGTGGCAGCCCTGGGGCTCAGAGCTGAGACTGGGGAACGGGCACAGCCCCGGACGCTGGGACACACCCTGGCCTGCCCGGATGGCACTCACAGGCACAGGGAGGGCAGCCTCACGGGGAGCAGCAGGGTGGCGAGCTCAGGCCCGGGCTGTGAGGCTGTCTTGGTGGCTGTAGAGATGCGGCTTCTCTACGTAGTTTAAGATGGCCTTGAACTCCCGGTGCTCTTCCTGCCTCAGCCTCTCCAGTGCTGGAATTACAGGCAGGGACCACCACACCTGGGTAGCAAGACCCTCTCTCTAAAAAAATACGCGCACAGGTGGGGACTGTAGCTCATTGAGAAGGCCCTGGGTTCCATCAGAAACCAGAGAGTGGACGCCTGGCGAGCAGGAGGCAGAAGATAAGGCCCAAGCCGTGAGCAGACCACAGAGCAGGTTCGGCCCAAGCAGGGAGACAGCACTGAGTGGGGATCTGGAGGAAGCACCCATCGGGGAACAATCAATCCTCGCACGCGGCCGCAGAGGTGCAGAGCCATCAGCCATCACCAGCCTGGCTGAAGACACACGCATGCCCGGTGGGACGACCTCAGCACTCTGGTGACCCCAGCCCACCTCCTGTGCGCAGCTCCGCGGCTCCGTGCAATGACACTGTCCTCCCAAAATGCAGCAGAAATCAAGCCACAGCTGCTTTCTCCTCAGGGGACTGAGTCTAAAACAACGCCAACCAGCCTTCAGGCAAACACACGCCCAGAATGTCAACCGGTACCGTGACCCTGTGCAAACATCTTGCTATCAGGACCTCTGGACTGAAACCCTGAGTCACCTCAACAGCACCTGCACCTGCGGGTCAGAGAAGACGGGGAGCGGACGCACACAAGGAGAGGCACAGGTCGGCGGGCTGGGTGGGTCCCCGCTCTTCCCATCACACCTCCCGCTCCTCCCTGGGATGCCAGGCACCGACATCCCAGCCCTCTCCGCAGAGCCTGGACAGCGCTTCCTAGGCTACCAGTGACGCTCAGGACAAAGTACAAGGAAACCTGATGTGGAAGGACAGGCTTAGGCTCGGACCCAGCCAGACACCAGGCCAGACAGCTGCAAGAGAAGGGGCGGCCACTCGGGACACCTCCTATGCACTCGGGAATCTGACTCACTGCCACCGGGAAGCCAGGCACTGAGGCAGGGGCAGGCCAGCGGCTCGGAGATCAGATCTGGCAGCCTGCGGAGCCTCGGATGTGTCACCCACCCTCTCCAGCTGAAACGCACCCTAGGGCCGTGGTTCTGGAAGGGCTTGCAGCTCTGAACAACTGCGACAAAACCAGAAGAATTCAAAGCATTTGAGGGACACTGTGCCAGCTTGTGCCTAAGGGACCAGCACGTCTCCCACTGCCTGTCCCTCCTCAGGGTCCCCAGGGAAGCTGACCACCTCGTGCCACACGGCTGGCCTGCTCCGGAGTCCCCAGCATCCCCTGCCCGCCCAGGATTTACTGAGCACCTTGGAGCCAACGCCGAACTCCTGGACAGCCAAGGATGCTTGTAGCTCAGGATGGCCTCAAACTGTGCCAGTCCTTCTGCCGCAGCCTCCTGCGCGCTGGGATTACATGTGTGCTGCCCCGCCCGGGCAGGCTCATGTCTCAGCTTGCTTTTGGTCCTACCCATGACCTCGCCACAACTGGTGTCTACAGCCCAAGGCCTGCCCGAACCTGCACAGAACCCGGACCTCAGCCCTCAGGGCCAAGCTCCAATGACCATCCTCGGGCGGAGGAGCCCCCGTCGGCCCGCGCACAGCCTTGCAGTGGCGCTCCGCGGACTCTCCCTGCACGGCGCCCACTGTGGCTCCCTCTGGCAGTGTCCTACCCTGTGCTTCTGTGCCTGCGGCTCCTCAATCAGAACCCTCACTCATCCCTCTCTGCGCAGCCAAATTACTCACCTATCAATTTCCAAGTGCCCGCTGCAGTGAGAGGCTGCCGGGAACCTAAGTGTTTCCAAACCTTTCAGATGCTCCACCAACACAAAGCGCTGCTTTAGGAAGTCCGCACAGTGCCTGTATTTCTTTAGCGGGATGACGATTCTACGGACTGGGACTCCGCAGCACAGCTGGGTTAAAATCAGCAAGGGAAGGAGCACAGAAAACATCCAAAGGGGCGACGGGTGGCTGTGCTAATTCCTGTTCTGGAACAGGCAGCCCACCGAGACCCACGCGTGCACCCCAGGAAGAGGCACGGCCTTCTCAGCTGCACGGGGAAGGAGAGCAACAGGCAGGCAGGGCAGGTTAACTTCTTCAGGCACCGTGGCCTCCTGTCGCCACCCAAGCTAGCCTCAAAGTCCGGCCCTCAGGGACGGTCCCCCCGGGCCTCCCAAGGGGGTAGGGCAGCCGGCAGGCACCTCCGCGCCCGGCTCCGGAACCGGCTCACTCGGAGGGGCTCAGGCCCGCAGTTCTCCCAAAGGCCTCGGTCTCCTCCACAGCCCAGAGCCGGGCAGCTCTCAGCACAGGCAAAGTGTGTCTCCAAGCAGGAAGGGGCCAGGAAAAGAAGCGTACGGTGAGGAATTGAACTTCGCCCAAAAAGAGGGCGGCCTGCGTCCCTGGCTGTCAGCGTGGCTAAGGTGGGCTCTGGCCTCTCACACTCCGTGCCAGCCAGGCACGGACATGGGCTGAGGACAACAGAGGCCTGGCATCTGGGGAGCCTCCTGGGCACGACCCTGCTGGGTGACTTCACTGTGCACTCTCTGTCCGTCAGGACGTGTGACGCGGAACTGGGGTGCTGCCAGTCCTCCCAGCGAACGTGGGAGCAGAGGGTGCGGAGGGGGTCAGAGGGCGGGCACGTGTGGAGTACAACTGTCAGCTCTGTAACACAGCTGGCTCAGCTCTTCCGGGTGAACTCAAGTGTCACCCCAGGAGCGGTCACAGTCCCCCTGGAGTTTTAAAAGGGCTAAGCACATAGCTCAGTCACACCGCGCTCGGCAAGTATGCACAGGCTGAGTTTGATCCCCAGCGCTGTGAAAGAGAAGACAGCTTTCTGTCTCCCCGAGTCTCTCCACTGACGATAATACCTGCCCACTCCTGAGGAGGACTTCGGGGTTACTCCATTGATTAGCAGGCTGGAAAGTCTCGATGCATTTATTTGTCAACCACGGCAAGATCTAAGCCACTGGTAAGAGTCCTGCGGCTGCCTAGTGAATCCTGTGGGAGATTAACTTTTCCCAAGGAAGCCACTGGACACCCACCAGTCTAACTCCAGAAAGTACGCAACCGAA